AAGATCATTGGCTACCTTAGTTTCCATAAACCATATTGCATCACAGCTCGGTCATATTGCTCTTCCTCAACTTTTTATTCAGCATCATTCGCATTGTCAACAGCTTCAACATCAACATCGTCATCATAAGTCATCATCATCGTCGTCATCTTGATCATGATCATTGTCATTATCAACATTACCGTCATCAACAACAACACCAAAATATTCATCATCATCATCATCAACATCTTCCGAATCAGGATCTTTGTAATCATCATCTTCATCAGCGTTATCGTCATATGAATCAAAATGATGATCAAAATCACAATTATCCTCAACATCATCATCAAAATTATCATCATCTTAATCAGCATCCCCATCATCCTTATCCACAATATTATCTCCATATTATCTCCATATTATCTCCATCATATGCACCCTCTGCCTCATCATCATCAAGCTTACCAGAATCGTCAATTTAAACATCATCATCAACATCATCATCATCATCATCATCCTGATCATAATCATCATGATCATCATTTTCATAGGAATCGAAATCTTGATCATAATCAAAACTTCAGCATCATAATCATCATCATTGTCATCAACGTCAACTTCATCAACATCGGCAACATCATCAACGTCATCATTTTCTTCATATTCATTATGATCTCTCGCGTAATCACCATCCGCATCATCATCCTCAACATCATCATCATCATGAGCATCATGATCACCATCATCTTCTTCATCATCAACAATGTCATCATCATCCGATTTGTTGCAATCATAATAATCATCATCCTTATCATCGGTACCCGCCCCAGCATCAACATCAACACCATTATCATCACAAACACCCGAACAAGCCTCATCATCGTCATCAGCATGATAATCAACATCATCAGCGTCTTCTTCAAAAACACCTTGTGAATCGTGGTCATCATCAAACTTTTATGCTCTTCATCATGCTAATCATCATCCTTATCCGAACCAGCATCTATATGACCTACATCATTATCCACGTCAAAAGCAACATACGAATAAGCAACAACATCACCACACAAATCATCTTCATCAACATGATCATCGTCATCAGCAACATCATCGTCATCATCATCATCGTCTTCATCATCCTGCGCACCGGCTTCTTAGTCATCCTGATTATGATCACCACCATTCGTTCGAGCATCTTTAACATCATCATCATCACCATCATCATCATCAGCAGCATTATAGTCGTCATCCTCATCAGCATCATCATATTTTTCATCCTGAGCACGATGCTCATAGGCATCATCATCATCATTCCAAAATGCATCATAATCATCACTAACATCATCTTAG